AAAGAAAGTATCAATTCTTCCGTCATCTCAGCATCAATGAAGTCATTGAGGTTTAAAAAAATGTGAAATGCATAAAATGTTTTCAGTGTTAATGTCAATGTTTGTTACGACCAAACATCACCCGATATGGCCACATTTCCGATTGCGCTCAAAGTTGGCTCCTTTTCTCCCTCGGTGGACATCATTCACCCGGTATGACAGTTTGTGTAGAAACCCTACGTTCTTGAGAATATTGACCAAAATAAAAATCGATAAAAACACGAACTAACACAGCTTCAAAAAGGTACAAGTAGCAGGGGTCACTGCTGATCACAACAGCACAGCACAGCGCAGCGCAGCACAGCGCAGCACAGCGCAGCACAGCACAGCGCAGCACAGCGCAGCACAGCGCAGCACAGCGCAGCACAGCGCAGCGCAGCGCAGCGCAGCGCAGCACAGCGCAGCACAGCGCAGCACAGCGCAGCACAGCGCAGCACAGCGCAGCACAGCGCAGCGCAGCGCAGCGCAGCGCAGCACAGCGCAGCACAGCGCAGCACAGAGCAGCACAGAGCAGCACAGAGCAGCACAGCGCAGCACAGCACAGCGCAGCGCAGCGCAGCGCAGCGCAGCGCAGCGCAGCGCAGCCCAACCAACCATGGTCGCACAACAACCCAAGTCCACTTGGGAAATATTCCAATGTCGAACTCTCCAATGGGCATGCAACAGCTGAATCCAAACTTGTGGCAGTAAAGCACACACACAGAGTGTCTTCATATACGTTTTCGCTACACTACACGGAGACACAATGGGAATAATCCCTGCCTTCGTACCAACTCGAACGAAGCTGCCACGAAACTTTACTTGCCGAGGTCAGAAAGATATGCTGCACACGTTCTCCATGACATCTGTAGATAACAAACACAATCACACGCAGTGGTAAAGAATCTGCTGCGAAGACACATGTCGTGGTTTCCACAGGACTGGTCGCGCTAACTACAGACACCGCGCTAACATTTTCAACTGACGTAATGCCAAGTCATGGCTTTCTCTGTTCAACAAGCAGGCATACAAGCACTTACGGGAATTCGTACATCTGTACAATGTGCACAAGGACCATTGATTCACCTTCACTATTTGAGCAATACAAATTCATATTTCCCGCGGAAACAAAAACGTCTTGACTTTTTGACTACTTTTCGCTGCTTATATGTCGCTCTTTCTCTTATGTTTCTGTCAGCCAGAAACATTGACATGACATTTCTTAATCGTAGGAAAGCATGATGAATATAATTATTATGAGTAATCGGCTGAGTAAACCATACTAAGAGCGAATTTTGATAATGTCGGAATGAGCGAAAAAAACAAAAAAATTAAAATTCGATTCGATTTTGAGCTCGTGTGCAGTCGATCGAGACGACAGAAAAAGTTCTTGTCATCTTTGTTCTCATCTTGTTCAAGTGGCGGCGATTAGTTTGAAAAGGGCAGGAGAACATCAATAATGAGCAGTCAGAGACTAAGTATCCACCGGCAAAACGCTCCTGCCAGGCATCGACAGCAGCAGCCATCGCCATCCCCTGCAGTGATGACAATGAGTTCTTCTCTCAATGCGAAGAGAGCGGCTGCGATCAAGCAACTGGACAGGCTAGTCTGAAACAATACGTGTTGGGCCAGTTAGCTTGCAGCGTTTTTTTCAACAAGGTCATGTTATACAAACAATGCAATGAAGTTCTAAAAGAAAGTGGTGTGCATGAAGTCGGTTATGGTTCATTCCGGCAGGTGTGGAAGATGCATCTTCCCCATATCCGCGTCATGAACCTACCTGGAAAAAGAAATCCCTCCTTTTCTCCCAACTGAACCTGGTGACGATCTCCATTGGGCGTGGTTCATGTGATTGTCTTCCTAGAATGGCCTGTCAACTCCACCAGCCAATGCTCAGAATAGAAACGGTGACATACATTTGCTGGAATGCTGGATTTGTATGTGCTATACTTCAAGTATTGATTTGGACCATTTATATGTGTGAGATGGACCCACATTTCGGCTGCAGAAGCGAAAATTGAATTGACCCAAAAAGTCCTTATATGAGGCATCGGCAGTCCTGGCGATTTTTCAAAATACCAATATTTGCGAAAAACCGAAATGATGTCGTTTTTTAGTCACCGTGATCAAAGCGGAAAGACTTCTTGCGATATCGAAAGTGCTCTCCTCTTGGTGGCTTCGCTATAATTTGTTGTCATCGCCGTTGTAGTTTATCCACCACGCACTTAGGACGTCCAGGTAGGCGTTTTCAGCCACCATGGAGGCGTTTGCGCTCTGGGTAGCGTCTGCAAATCATGCGCTCAAAAGAGAGCGGAACAAATAATTTCTTGGCGGAACAATCCCGTCACAAATTCGCGAGCGACTAGAATATTTGGCAGCTGGACCTCCAGAGATACTCCGCTGCCTGTGATAGTCCCCCACAAGAAGAATCAGGTGAAAGTGAAGAGGTTTCGCTCAGATGACAAGCCATCAGCGGAGGCAGCGCAGACGATGAGTTTGAGAGCTCCGTGACACGAAGTGGCGACGCGGACAGCAGCGCTGAGAGTGACGAACGAGATTCAATACTCCGTGGCGACTATTCGCAGCTGGATAAGTTGGTGAGATACGGAGACAGCCCTGAATGAACTAAACCTTACTTGATACAAGATATTTTGTGAATAAAATTGTTGCAAGTAAGTCAACTCCAAAGCACGAAAAAGGCCAAAAACTAAACCAAGAACATATGCAATAACATGTTATTTATAAAGACAGGACAAGTGAATAATTAGTCAGTCCATTGTTCATGATGATCTCCGACGGTTACGTCGGCAAGCGAGCCTCCGCCACTGCCAAAGCAGCGTGGGCACCGCAGGAGGGTGCAAATTTCAAACCAAAATTTAAACGCCTACAACCGCGAATGCACATGATACAGGATTTCAGAAGGCTGAAGGAAATCCTGCATCTAACAAATGCCATAACATGAGAGTAATGCTCACCCCTCTTCTCCGCCAACAGATGAGCAATTCGTTTGTACAGTGCTGTTGATGCTGGACCCATTCCGCCACTGGCTGACATGACCGCCGGAACAAAGGAGGCTTGCTCAACCTGCCTCACCCGCTCCTCATAGTGCCTTCTCTTTTCTTTTTCACTCAGCCCATGTCTCATATGAAGCCAGAGAGGGCCAAGTATGTCTCCTATTTTGATGGTTTTGATGACGTCACGTGTGATAAGTATTCAAATTCTCTAAAACCAGAAAATGTGAATGGCTACAATTCCTAACCATACCACAACGAATCGATTGGCTACATCATTGTATTGAGAAAAGTTTCCATCTGTGCAAACAACATTCATGATGAGCTAGCAAAAAAACATAGCGTAGGGCCTTGAGCGAAAGAAATAAACTTTCTCTTTGCATTCGAGGGTAGTACGACACCGTCTACCACCTTGATGACCTAAGCAAAAAAGGATAGGGATGTTATAAATTTTTCATTTCTCCAATTTTTTTCAAGACATAACCTAGGATTCGAACCCACGCTATCGCCCTGCATGCATTCCTCTAATACACTTAGCATACATACTGTATAGCAGGAAATTTTCGGACGGAATTCATTTTCGTACGATTTCGTACACGGCCTCTTTTGTACTAAAATTAATTCCGTACTAAAATTTGTTCATGTGAAATTATGTACACTACGCATGGGTACTGCTTGCAAACACGTGCATTTAGCATGCAGCACTGTTCGAAAATAAAACCCGGACGAAGGTCGAAATTCGGCTTTGTCCGAAAATATTTCCGTCCGAAAATTTCCTGCTATACAGTACTCATTCTTCCAAGCTGATTCATGCTATCATCTTGCATTTGAGAGCCCTATTTGAATATTGTGGCCTGCTGTCTTTGATGGTACAGTATGCGACAGGTACAGGATAGCGCCAGGCATGCCGACTGCACAAACACACACCTTGATGGTACGGTACGGGACAGGTACGGGATAGCGCCAGTCATGCACAAACAAACAAACGCACACCTTGATGATACGGTGTGGTACAGGTGCGGGATAGCGCCAGGCATGCCGACGGCACAAGCAAACAAACGCACACCTTGACGATACGGTACGGGACAGGTACGGGATAGCGCCAGGCATGCCGACGGCACAAACAAACAAACGCACACCTTGACGATACGGTACGGAACAGGTACGGGATAGCGCCAGGCATGCCGACGGTGCAAACAAACAAACAGTCAAACAAAATCGGAATTAAAGCTGTGTGGATCCTGGCTAGCGCCAGACGTTACTGAAGCAACGTCTTTTGCTTAGCTACGGGAATAAACCTAATATTGCGCTCATAATCGGTTAATATATGAAATATAGACATTGTAAAGACCTCGGCGGACCTCTGTCTTTTGCCTGTTCTATATTTCATATATTGACCGCTTTAATAGTGCAATCATACTAATACCACGAAATTGTCGTTTAGGAAATTTCATTGCCATATATGTTCAACATTCCTTCTTCATACACACTTGGGGTGGTGCTCACTGTATTCCTTAGTGTTTGAGCTTCGGAAGTAATATCACATTCCAAAGACTAAACAGGTATCCAAATTTTCATGAATATCCAAAATAGTTGTGGGTCAAGCCCGTTTACCGCTCATCATGTTGTTAAAGAGACTTGTTCTCAGAGTGATTGTTGTGTACCATTTTTCTGAACTTGGTTTGCATTTGTGCAGGTTGGCAGCGCTGTGATAATGTGACTGATTTGGATTATTTGGTAGTTTCATCTCAGAAGACCAAATCTGAAGCATCTCAGCATTGCCAGAGTTCCTCACAGGGAGGGGAAATCGCTTCTCCCCGGAATCAAGCTGAAAATGATTGCCTGCAAAGGTTTTACCCGTCGACTTCAATCTATTTGGGAATCTCTCTTGTAGATAACAAATGGCAATCTTCTTCTGGAGAAGTAACTTGGTCGAACTTTGCGCCACGTGAACCTAGCGGAAATGGTTATTGTCTACAAATGTATAATGCCGCTTATCCTGGCAAATGGGATGACTTGCATTGTGTGCACACATTACATTTTGTTTGTCAAAGAGGTAAGGGACTTTTCCTGTTTTAACTCTCAGCGTTTTTTCTTACGAATTTTATCCCAGCACCTTTTCAGACTCAGCCGTTTTCTCTCCTTCTGTGGAATGTTGCTCAAAGTGCTTCGGCGGTGGTGCTGACCTGTCTATCAGCTGGCTCGTGATCATGACAAGAGCGTTGAAGTTTGCTGACAATTAGAAAAGTTTATCTTAACATCTGTAAAGTTCAACTCGGAAAACAACTATAAGTGATTGTAAATACAGACCCATTCAGTTTCTGAAATGTTTATCCATCAGAATTAAAAATAACATGGCCAAAATTGTCAAAGCGTTCATCAGGAAAATCAAACCACTTATATGCCCATAAGACTCATTTGGCAAGATTACGAGGCAGTAAAACAATGTGCACAGTGTTTGGCACCGATGTATTAACTGCAGAGAACGCAAGTTGACTGAAGCATCTACACGAAATGATGTTGATCTTAAAGGCAAGAACAAGAGGGTGGAGCGAATGAGGCCTGCGTTCGCAAAATGCAGAGTCAAACTTCGAACGCTCCACACGGCATTTGTTGAATGCGTGACCCACATATTTTGGCCCCTATGTCAAGTTGACGATCTCCGTGACCTGACTGGAAAGTTTGAGCCTAGTACGACCATCTTAACGGCCTAAACTCAACTTCCTCTTGTATAATGTCTCCAACCGTACTGGTTCAAAGGCTCCTGGGCCTAATACGCATTTGGGCCACCACATGCCATTCACGGGCTTGGAGGAAATGCTGAATACACCGTCGTGGCTGCGTTGGCTCTGAAATAGGGGGAACTGGTACAAGCACCAGGAGGTATATCTTACCCCTATCATACTACTATGCAGCTCAACGGGATTGGCCAGAGTTGTGTAGCAAAGCTGTGAAACATTGACAATGTCACAAAGTATAAAAATGTAAAAATCACTGATTAATCTGAGTATCCACACTTTTATAATAGCAATAAAAAGAACAAATCCTGCAGTCATCGCCACACTACAACGAAGTCATGAAAGTTTACCGGAATTAATTTTCTTGTCACATTCATCAGTGGAAAGTCGTGACTGAAGAGTAACCATGCTGAATAATGATTAAATATACATTCAATGATGTGTTACGAGAACAAAATACAGTGCCAAAATAGAATGAGGGAAGGTGAGACAATAGAAGTGAAGTGAGAGCTAAGTGCAACGGTGGGTGAAAAACTAATAATTATAACGCTAAAACTGTGTAGTGAGACAAACAATCATGCTGTGCACCTACGAAAACAATTTTAACGCAACTACATGTTTCTTCTGCTTACAAAGATCAGGCTTATGCAAACGAATACAAACAGCCTCAAGTACTTTCAACTGACTAGCATACCGTGCACGACAAAGAACAGAAAAACTAAAATCATCATACACCTGCAGACACTTAGGGTGAGACAACAAGTGAAGAAAAACGGCAGACTTCTTACGATCACAATCACCATCTGATTCCTCGTCTCCAACAACCGCAGCCTCGTCCTCCGTCTCATCTCCCAACTCGTCCTCCATGTCGTCCTCAGTGCCATTCTCCTCATCAACACTGATCGGTCCCAGGCTCGTTTGACGTTGTTTAACCTCCGTTCGTTGACTCCTCCTTTGATCTTGATGGCAACTTGTTGTTGTTGTTGTTGTTGTTAAATCTTGTGTTCCCAGTGTCCTCGCCAATGCTTGATCTCCAGTACTGTAATAATTCATTGAATAATTAGCCGTTGATCGTCTAGGTCTTTGAATGTTGATCGTGTTACTTTCTTTGTTGAATTCCGTTCCCTTCAGCCTTCTTTCTCGTTGTTCACAATCAGTGCTTGCCTCATCCATATATGCACGTGCCACCGACACCACAGACTCAGCCCCAGTACCGCCGATGATAGATGTAGGTGGCATGGACGTCAAAGAGTGAAATAGTATTATTCAGCTGAGGTGATGTTCACATGGTGGTTGTTCGGTCGCAGTCGACTCGGATTGTACTGGCACTTGCTTTTGGTCCCAAACTGCAGATATATTTTGGGTCCATTTCAACTGAGGTGATTCACAGTGTCGATGTGACATAGCGACTTTTCGTGCAGACGGACCGTGGTATCTTTACAATTCTTGAAGCCCTTGGAAATGAAGGCCGAGTCCTTCGACGGCGCTCTCAGCTTCCCTTGCTGATCAGCAACGGAACACAAATGGCAGGTCACAGAATCTCTCGACTCGTCGTAGTGCATCCAGTTGAATTAATCGAACCAAGCTAGTTGAAACGGACGCTCGACGATCGATGTCCTACCGAAACTTCGCTTTGGAAACGCAAAATTCCGAAGCTGATCAGCCTCCATGGTGTCCGCACAAACAGCAATCAAAGAGGAAAATGACTCACAACTTCGAGAAGTATTTGGGAAATGCAGAAAATAAAGGCAGTGAAGGCATGCAAGCGAAAAGCTTTTGTGGATGCGCACCCCACTTTCAGGGGCCCCTACACATACCCAGTATGTCTACGGCCCCCATTCACTGTGTGCCGCACACCTGTATAGCCTAGACCAGAGAGGCCTACACATATCCGCTATGTGTAGGGCTCCCTGGTCTAGCTCCCTGGTCTAACTCCCTGGTCTAACTCCCTGGTCTAACTCCCTGGTCTAACTCCCTGGTCTAACTCCCTGGTCTAACTCCCTGGTCTAACTCCCTGGTCTAACTCCCTGGTCTAACTCACAGTACACGGTGGTGGAGTTGCAATCTGGGTGCGATCTACTCTCCCAGCCTTGTTCATCGATGAACTGGCCGGCCCTCAGCATGAAGTCTTGTGGGTATCCATCCAGCTCAGCGTCGGGCACAAGATTGTCCTGGGAGGTGTCTACCGGCCGGGTTCTTGCGGGCCCGGTGACCTCTCACTTATCCATCATCTCAACGACACCCTTCCTTTGGCCCGTCAACATGGCGCTAGTTCTTGCTGGGGACTTTAACGTTCACAACTGTGCCTGGCTAAACAGCTCTAAGACCACACCGGCGGGCGAAGCACTTGAGGACACTTGTGCCGCGCACCTCCTTACGCAGCATGTTCAGACTCCTACTCGTGGCGACAATACCCTTGACCTCGTGATGTCTACCTTCAACTCCCCAGTATTGACAACCGCCACACCCCATCTTGGGCGGTCTGATCACGTTATCATTCTATCCGACTTCGTAGGCATATTACCTTGCCACGAACCTGCAGCAAAGCGAACTGTCTGGCGGTACAAGAGCGCAGACTGGCATCGCCTCCGAGCTTTCCTTCGCAACTCTCCATGGCACGACATCATAACTGATGACCCGGACACCTCCTGTGAGCGGGTAACCTCCACTATCAGAGGCGCAATAGCCAGGTTTGTCCCATCTAATGAACCGATTGATCCAAAATGGTGGACACCGGAATGTACAGCTGCTATGAGGGAAAAGGACAAACGTTGGCGTTCCTGGAGAAAACACCCGAACGATCTCTCACTCAAACAAGCTTTCCTCCGCTCCGTTACCACAGCCGTCAACATCCTAAGGCGATCCCAGGAAGCTAAAGAGGCCACTATTCGTCACAGCCTGTCCACGGGCTCACTCAAGAACAAAGAATGGTGGACCAAGTTAAAGTATGCTAGTGGGGACGGACGTAACACGGACATTCCTCTTATTGTTGATGCGGGCGGACGGGAGTTGGCGACAAGCCATGAGAAATCGGAGGCCTTTGCCACCTTCTTCTCCAGGAAGTGCAGTGTCACTGGCCAGGATCTTACTTCTGACAACTTACCCGACCTTGTTGCAACCGGAGCACCGGCACTCGCAGCCGTTCATTTTCGCCCCGCCACTGTCTACTGTCTGGTAGCGCGACTCGACATATCAAAGGCGACTGGTCCTGACGGCATTTCAGCCCGGGTCCTGAAAGAGTGTGCCAAAGAACTTGCGAAGCCTTTGTCCCAGCTATTCGCTCTCTGTTTCAGGCGCGGAGTTCAACCAGAATCTTGGAAGACAGCTAACGTGGTACCGATCCACAAACGGTCCTCGCGCTCTGTTCTGAAGAACTACCGCCCAGTCTCGTTATTATGCATAATGTCCAAAGTAATGGAAACTATTGTCAATCGCCAACTGATGAACCATCTTAACCAAATGTGTGTAAGGGGTGTAGTAGGTTGCGTGTATTGAGGCTCCCGTTTTTCCGTAGTTTTTAGGTAGCTTTTGGGGACTAGCCCCAACCGCCTGGGTGGGATGGCTAGCCCAGATCACACTGAGCAGCTGGTGAGCGCCGAACAGGTCCATACACAGCTTCGCTCATTGCCTGGCATCGAACACAATGTTGTAGAAGTGCTGAGAACTCTAGCTCGTCTTGAAAGCCAACTTCAGGACCAGGAGAAACGATATCAACGAAGGATTAGTGGATTGAGCTCCGAACTTTCCCAGCTGAGAGAGGACCTGGCCGACACTCGCCTGTGCCAAAATTTGGACATCGGCAATGTTACGTGTGCGTCTTGTAAATCAAACTCCTCCGCCATTGCAGACCTAGAGAGAGAGCAAGAAACAACCAGCCAGAGGCAGCGCCGAAATCGAAAGAAACGTAGTACAGGCACAGAAAGTCGTTCACAGTCCGCCGTACCCGTAGAGAGTTCACGACCCATTGATCCCGAGATGGACCTGACTAGCAGTGTCAGATCCGATGTTGACAGCTCAAACAACAAGCCATCCAACTCCCGTACACATGGTACACCCGGACCCAGCTCGGAGTTGACCCCGCCACGTGTGGATCGCTTGCCGAAATTTGAAGAGATGAGTGAGGATTCGGACGCCACATGGCGACTCATCACCTCCACCAAACCCACAGCGAAGAAGAGAGTCTTGTTTGTCGGAAATCTGATGCATGCAATTACTGCAGACCAGCTGAAGGAGTTCATCGCAGCAAGAGCAGCTGAGGCTGACCACAATGTCCAAGTGTTTGACGTAAAAATATTTCAAAAAGAAAAATCCTCCACTG